AAAAAGGGTGGGACCAAGATGCCAACCTAGTAGCATGCTTAAATTCATTCAGTCCAGGCTCTAGTGAAAATAGCTCATCAGAGCAGATGCTATGAAAATATTTATAGAAAAGACAGAGGGAAGCCACATTATGTTGGTGAAAAAATGACTGGGGTCAAGACTCCAAGTCAGGACAGATCAAATTGCATATCCATCTGTGGATTTTTTTGAGAACCTCGAGATGAACACCAGGGGCACCAGACCATATATGGCAACAATATTCCATGCATGGACGAATGATAGATTTGTAGATGTGAAAGATGGACTCAGATGAGAAAAAAACCTTCTGTCATGACACAGAAAACCAAATTTCCTTGCAGTAGATGCAGCAATTGATTCAATGTAGTTGTTCTACCACAGGTCAGTGGAGAACGTGAGACCAAGAAGGTGCATTGCACTTTCATGGGGTTGATGATTCATTATCATTATAATTCTACCATAGCCAGTCCCAAGCTCATGTCAAGAAAGGAGAAGGGTTAAAATGAAAGGCCAGCAACCTTGCCTTCTTAGAATCTATCTTACATATTTATAAGTCTTACCATTCATCCTTGCATTGAATATTGCTGCCACATCTGATCTGATGCTCCTGCTATATATTTAAAGATTCTTGGTAAAATCCAAAGAAGAATCTGCAATACTATTGGTCCTGAGCTGGCATTTCAGCTTCAGTCACTTTCCCACCACCATAACATTCTGCTTTTTCTATAAATACTTTCATGGTAATTGTTCTGATGAACTTTCCTCTATGGTACCTAGACTTCATGGATTTAAGTGCAGTACTAGATTGGTAGCAAGGTTTCATCATTTTGCAGGTGAATTGACTAGATGTAACTGTAAGTTCTATGTTAACAATTTCTTCTATAACACTTCTTGCATGTGGAACTCTTTTCCACTTTCTTGCTTCCCAGTCAACTTTGATCTTCAAAAATCTAAATGCAATGTCAATTGTTATCTTCTTCTGTCTTCATAATGTTTATTCTTTTATTGTTCTCTCTCTGTAATAGCAGTTTTTCTCATATTCTCTAACACTCAGTAAGCTCTGTCTATATTTCTGAGATAAGGTATTGTAATTATTTACATTATTAGGACTGTTGTCTGGGCCAGTGGATAAAAGCATTGGTTGGATCCAGTGACTTGACCCAAAGAGTTGTGAGTTCAATACCTGGCTGCTACAGTGATGAACAAAAACTTAGAGAGTTGAATTAAAGGGAAATAACTGAGACATCCGGAAGAGGCATGGCACATGGAACTAGAACAATCTACCCTGGTGGACAAAATAAAGGGTTCAGTTCAAAATTCCAATCACCTGAAGAAGGCTGGAGCATGCAACAGCTGAAACGTTGTGAATATGGCAATAAAGATGAGGAAAACAGTCCAAACAATGTAAATAATACTCAGTACTCTCTTGCGTCCTAGTGGTTTTATTGCCTTGCTTGGGATGAAATAATTAAAATAAAAAAAATGCTATAAAAATGATAAGAAGCCTGAATAAATTCTACAGAACAAGGGATTGGCCTGAATGGAGGACACTCACCACCCAATTCTTCCAACAGAGCAAAAGCAATTAAGACTAAGATGATCATCACAACAATTTTCAAACTCCTTTTCTTTGTCTCATTTGTTTAAATGTCATTTTGGCAAATCTTTTCTCTGCCTTGATGCATGTATAGCATCCACATATGGAAAATATCATCTATACTTTCAAATAAATCACTATCATTTCAAGGGTTGTTCAGAGTCAGTTATGTGCCATGCATGATACACACTTAGGTGATCATGTATCTTTCGATACATGACTGACAATGTAGATTTTTTCCCACAGTAGGTTGCCATTTCTTTCTGTGGTAGACCAGTTGCCAGCCAAGGCTATAGAACCCGGTCTGTCCTGCTATTTACCCATAGCTGGGGGGAAAAGAAGAGGATTCATACCTTCCCCAAGGATATTGGCACGTAAGTGAATGTAATGGATTTGCCTGAAATTTGAACTCGGTTCTCCAATTCCTCAATCCAAGCTGCTATCCATTACTCCACCATTGTTCAGAGTACTATTTCATTTTTGTTCTTCTGTTTTGTTTTTCCAAACAAAAAGAGACCCACTCACTGTCTTTCCATATGGATCATAAACCCGAAAAAGGTCATTGAAACAGTGTGATAATACTAAAAGCAAGATAAAGAAGGAAATTAAAAGTTCAAGCAACTCTTGGATTTTTATAATATATTATTGAAGACCAGGTGAGAATAGAAACAGAATTTTGATTCAGAATTAAATATTTGGGTGTGATTCATTGCACAGCTACAGTTTCTGTTTGTGTTACTCATTGCTTTGGCATGCAAAAGAGTAAGCAAGATCATGAGAGGCAACAAGTCTGCTGATTTGGGTTTAATCTCTCTTATAAAATGTCCTGACACAAGTAGTTTCAGACATTTGAATCTCTTAGAGCTTATTGATATTTATATATGTTTCTTTAGTACAGCATAATATCAAATGCAAGGAAATGTTATTTACTTAAATAAAAATAATGCAAGGAAATGTTATTTATGTGACTGTTCACCCAGTAAAAGGCCAATGAGCCACTTGAGGTAGAGGGTTTCTACATGAGGTTGTTGCATAGACAAGAATCACAGATTATAGGATATTTAGGATAGATAATGATTTGAAGAGTTTAAGATTGTCATGGTTAAGGACACCCTCTCAGGATTTTTGTTTGTCTGAATTTCTGGGATAAGAAGTTATTATTTACACTATTTATATTTGAACTATTGTCCTCATCTTTGTTGTTTTTATCATAATGTTTCAGTTGTTGTATCCTCCAGATTTCCTTAGGTGTATATAAATCTGGGTAACCTACAGGGAATTCTGAATTGAACCCTTTATTTAATCTATGGGGGTAGACTGTTTGCACTCCACTGCTTGTGTTGAAGGATATTGTCTAGTTCTTATTTTGTTTAGAAATGTTCAGTTATTGCTTGCCTAATTCCACTGAGTGCAAGTACACACTGCCTGGCCCAGAGATTGAGTTCACAACCACAAGACATAAGCAGTGGAATGAGAACAGTCTACCCTTGAAGATTAAATAAAGGTTCAGTTTGGAATTTCCTGTAGGTTACTCAGATCGATTTAAACCTGAAGAAGGCTGAAGGGCACAACGGCTGAAACATTGTGATAAAAACAACAAAGATGGAGACAATAGTCCAAATATAGTGTAAATTCTCTCAGGATTCTGTTCTACAAAGCAGTGGCTGTTGGGAAGAAGCTGTTCGAATGGAGCTTACTTTTTACTAATGGAAGATGAAAGGAATGCGGATGATTTGCTTTTATGTACATGTGAAGGCAGGTTTTAGCTTTAAATATCTGAATTGGTGGGTCAACAGAATGTAGCTCATCAAAATATTTTCCAAGTCGATAGAAATAAAGCAGTAATAGGCTTGCAATGTTATATCTGTTAGAAAGACGTTTTAGGGTGGAAAATTTACAAGGTCGCATAAAAGTTTTTGAACTCTGTTGAGGCTGGTAAGAGAAGATTGAGCAGCACCAAGCCAGAATGTACCAAGAAGATTGTGTTGTGCCAATCTTCCAAATAAGCATTGCATGCTCAATTTGAAAATCAGCATTCAAAATTATGGTTTTTGTTGATATCTGATTGAACAGAATTTTAAACTAAATCTACATCAATAACAGCTAACTAATTTGATGTCAACAAAACTAGAAAGATAGAGCTTGTCTCTAGATAGACCAGCATTTCTCTGCCTTTTTTTTTTACTTCAAGATGCATATGTAGTATAACTGAAACTCTGGTGTGCACTTTAAATTTTAATAAGTAAAAATTAGACATGGAATTTTAAAATATGAAATTTTGGTTTAGCATTACCAAAGAAGGTTAGCAGTACAGTTTTCATTCAAAATAAATTTATGAAGAATCTGGTATTAATTTTTTTTAGAGAGGCCAATAATGATTGATTTAAATCCCTTGAGGAAGGCAAAAGGGAAAGGCTAATCCAATCTTTATTAAAGATTAAGTAATTTAGCATCCAGTTTAAAATATCAAATGACAAAAACTTGACTTAAACATGGAAGTCATGTGCTTGGTGTCTATAGCTTTTTAAAAATAAAGATTTTTAAATATAAGAATAATTCTTAAATTACTCTTCTGTTAACTTGGGGCACACCTGACTACCTTTCAGGGTGTGTTAATACACCCAGGTGCATTGGTTGAGAAATACTGATGTAGATGTATCAAAACTTGTCTTGATTTCAATGTCAAGTTGGTATTTGCTTTGCAAATCCATTTTTTGAATGTGAAAAGAAAGGAGAAATCTAATTCAAGACAAGGTGGTAGTTTGGAGTCATTGGCATTAATTTCCTCATTTTTGTTGTTTTTATCATAATATTTAGTTCACTATGTTCCTGTTCCTCATTGAGTGTTGTTTATTTGAAATATTGAAACTTATTATATAATCAGGCATATATGTTCCTTACTATACACATTATCTGGCACCTCAGATTTTGACAGAGAAGAGCACCAAAGAATAAGATGGTTGAAGGAATACGCATACATACTATGCTCAAATTACATGATCAGCAGCACAGATATCAATAGCATAGGAGAGAGTCCCAAAATAGAAGTGCTGGTGAAATTCACCTGGTTCACCAGAAGGCCATGTTTTACTGCATGGGCCACAAGAGGATATTGATTGATTGTTTTGTTTTTATGGCTTATCAACCTTTTACAGGTAATTTAAAACCAGAAAATAATTTTAGATTGTAAGAATTTTTTGGAGATACTAATGATTTACTGATACAAGGCCTACTAATTAACCCATAGCTTGGGGGAGAGGGGGTGAATTAATATTTTTTCTTTTTTTGTGCATAAGTGAATATAAGGAACCCAACTGGAATTAGAACTCGGTTCTCAGATTTCCAATTCCAAGGTATTATCCATTATACCAACTGTACAGTCAAGCTTACAGTTCCTGGTATTCCCAAGCAGTTACCCATCTAGTTACTAAGCAAGCTTAACAATGCTTAACTTTGGTGATCATATGAGAGCAGGTGTTTCAATGTGATCTGGCCATAAGCCTCACGAGAAGACAGTTTGAAAAACTCTCAAATAATATAACTGGATATGAAGTGTAAATGGTATTAGCAATATTAGCCGTTTCCTTATAAGGAAACATTTGGCATTGTTACTGCCAGTTGAAAGTTATAAAATCTTTCTATTAAAAAATTTTCAGGAAAACAGATTTCTCAAGTCCACTCTTATCACTCCCTCCACTATTGATGAGGGTTTCCTTCTTAACCTTTTGTTTGAAGTAGTGTGGAATGTCAACATTTTCATTATATCATTATTTTCTCTTAGAGTTATATGTAACTGTTGCTGCTGTTGAAAGTCCTCATGTGATGCGGTTTCTGTTATTTGGTACAGTTCTTTGTGATTCTGTAACTCCAGTCCACAAGGTTCGAAGAAGGATGGTCCTCATTAAGACCCACAGGATTCATTTACTTGAAACCCCTTTTTAATCATTTATCTGAGAAAGCAGTTGTATACAGCTGACACTTTAGATATTTTTGAAGGAGTTATCAATATTCAATTTTCTAAAATACAACAGATACTTAAAGAAGGTTAGAGAGTATAGTGGCTGAAATGCTGTAATAAAAATAACAATGATAAGGAAGTTAGTCTAAATGAACTAATGGAAAAATCTGAGTAGTTCATAATTCAAACTCATAACAAAAATAGAGACTAGTAGAAAAAGCCTTGGTTGAAGACTAGGGCATAGTGGACTCCTTAATCTCTGGTTGGCAAGCAGCCTAGAAGGAAAAAAGAACAAACTCTTGAATTCAAAACCATATGTAGTCCTGGAAAGGCAACTAACAAAAGGATTGTGGAGTTTACAATGATCTTTTGATCCTGACTACTGTTGATCTGATGGAAAGAGCAAAAATGTCAGCAGATGCGGCAGTCATAATTTAACTACAGTAAGGTAATATTGCTTTGTATTCTCAAAGAAAAAGCTTACTGTATATACTTGAGTATATTATTATTATCAGTTTTTAATGCAAAAATAAGTAGGGGGTCAAACATAGGTAATTTTTTTTGAAGAGGTTAAAAATCATGCATTTTTGTTGACTGGTTGCACTACACACAGGCAACTTTTTTCTGGAGGAGTTAAAATTCATGCAAAAAATTCAGGGCTTGCACTTTTGTAATGCAAGAGAAAATCACCTACCTCAAATAAGAGATCGTGTTTTGTGCATGGTTTGCTAAAGGAAAATTAAAGAAAATTATTAGCAAAAAATCTGCTATTTAAGTATCAGAGAAACTATGCTAATGTTTTTTCCTCCCTGTTTGGCATGGCCAGTCAGAAAAATCGCTCAGTGAATAAAGGCTGTTGCTTAGCAGGCAGAACGATTATGAGTTTGATGAGTGATAATGTGTTTGGATTTCTGATCCAATTTCTCATTACTATGTTGTCTGCTGGACTGTTCACTACAGATTTGTGATTGACCTTAATGTTGGCACACTAATTTTTTTTCATGCCCTAAACAGGCTATTTCGGCATTCACTTTGTCTCTAGCAAAATGGCAGAAAGAATGTTTGACATAAAATTGATCCTCAAATTCATGGGTAATAAGATTGGACAGTGTGTTGTTCAATGGATCGAGAATGTGAAACTTGTCTGTGAATTATGCGAGGTCATGTAGATTGAACAAATTCTTCCACTTGCATTTGAAAAGTGGGGTCTTTGCCGTATATAGGCAGCTAAACAAAGAACAAAAAACTGACATTAAGCAAATAAAGCATGCTTTACTAACCACATTTGGAACCGACCAGTTCGTGGCCTACGACTAATTCTAAATGTGGCATCTGCACACTGGCAAGACAGTAGACATATTTTTGGTGGAACTAAAGAAACTTGCCATACCAATCATGCCACTATCTGAAGAATGTATGACCTGTGCCTTTGTGTCTGGATTGCCTAGCCATGTTAAGCAGATACTCTGAGCATCATCCAGAATGGAAGACATGATGCTCAACCAGTTACTGACCAGAGTCTGCGCTATCATGATTGATGAAAAAGAGGTCAAGGAGTGAGTTGCCACACCTATTCAACAAGTTGAAGTCAAAGATGATCCAACCTCAGTCATCTGTCAGTATGGTGATATCATCTGCTATTGGTGCTCTGGGCCAAAACATTTTGTCAAAGACTGCCACTATCAACGTGAAGAGATGTATGGTGGGTTGGCATAAAAGGCAAGTCCTGATCTACGATGTTTTAAATGCCAGAATTAGGCAACATTGTCTCTAAGTGTCCAGGAAATGGAATGGGGGATGCAACATCAGTGCTGGATTCTTCCCTGCACAAAGCATAAAAGAGGTGGTCCCTGTGATTAAGGTGCGCATCAATGGAATAACGTATACAGCTTCAGTAGATTCAGGATGTTCTCAGTCACTCACGAATAGATCAATTTGAATGGATCAAAAGATGGATGTACTAATCGCCAATGGAAAGGTTCTTAGGAACCAAGGAGTCAGAAGAATAAGACTCAGTGTCAACAACAGTGACCCCCATCACTGTCAGTGTCTTGGTCATGGACAGCCCACTATTGCAGTTTGACCTGCTCCTTGGGATGTATATTATTAAGGGACTGGACAAAGTATGCATCACGGAGTCTGGTAAAGTTTAGTTTTCTAGTCAGCCCATATGTGCTGCCTTGAGGATCGATGGGCCCAACATCGGAGCAGAGTTCAACCAAAGCATGAAGGTATGGACAGCACGTTGGAAATGGTCAGACAATAACTCACCAGAGAAGCTCCAGAACTGGGTGTCAAAGTACTTGATGTCCAAACAAATCAGGGAAGAGTACCAGTGTGAACTGCAGATGCGGCTGGATAATGGATGGCTGACCCCATATCATGAGGAAAAGTATGATCCTCTAAGAGACCTCATCCTGCTAATGGCCAAGGTACAGATGAGAAAATGTCAGTTGCATTCCATACTAGATTATTGGGAGCTGAACGAATATGTAGATGCATACGCAGCTCATTCTGATGTTTGTGCACAAAATTGAGAGACTGCCAAAGGAAAGGATCCAATGTCTCTGTGATTGATCTTCAGGTATGCATGCACCAGTTTCAGATGGTCATCTTTAAGGGGTGGAGATATTGCCTAACATGAATGGGATTCGGGCTCAATGTGGTGCTGGCCATCATGAAAGCCATGGTGGATGCTGTGCTATCTAAGGATGAGACAATTCGTCAAGCAACATCAGCTTACATTGATGACATCTACACCAACAAAGCCATAGTACCAATGAGGCAGCATCTTGCCGACTTTAGGCTCAAGTGTAAAAACCCAGAATGACTGGAGAATGGTACTCTTGTGCTCAGCTTGCAGGTCTGCGAGGAGCATAATATGGTTTACTGGAAACATGGAAGCAAGCTCTCAGAGATTCCTGGACACATTACACAGCACAGTGTGTTCTCATTATGTAAAAAGATGGTAGGACTGTTGGCAGTTGGATCCGCAATGTGACTGCCTTTATCAAATGCAGGGTGACTGCTGTCACTTCCAGCTGGGATGACAAAACAACTGATGCTCCCCATAGAAACATGATAATGGAACACTATTTACATTATTAGGACTATTGTCCTCATCTTTGTTGCCATATTTATTACAACATTTCAGCTGTTGTATGCTCCAGCCTTCTTCAGGTGGTTGGAATTTCGAACTGAACCCTTTATTTCGCTCACTGGGGTAGACTGTTCTAGTTCCATGTGCCATGTTTAATGGATGTCAGTTATCAGTTATCTCCTGTTAATTCCCCTCTCCAAGTTCTCCACTGCCTTAATCAAGTATTGAACTCACACACTTTAGGTCCTGTCACTGGATCTAACTAACGCATTTACCCACTGTGACATGTGTCCTTGAGGACTTATTAAGGAATCAGCACATATGCTAGGCCACAAAAATCTCCTGAGCCAACCAGGCATAGAAATCAATACAATATGGGAACCAGTAATAAGGAGTTCCAGAGAAAAGCGATAACAACAAAAATTGCAATATAAGCTCTGGTAAAAACATGTAATGATAACAGCAAAAAATTGCAATATGAGCACTGGTAAAAATGGTTGCTGAAGACATTAGGTTTATAATACCAAGAAATTCATACATAGATGTCCTCTTTCTTAATATCATCAAGCCATCTCTGGGGCACCCTTGTTAAACTTTTTGCCTTATTTCAGTTTGATCTGTGTATCATCAGCAAATGACTGTAACTCAGATCTACTAAAATCTGTGGATTGTCAAATCCTACATCCTGGTATAAAAAATACCCTGTATTTCATGAGATTAATCCCTTTGTATCCAAAGTTGACATCAAGGCAGCGGTCAGAGAATGCAAGGAGTACCAGTCCATTGACCTACCACCTGTGCAATGGCCAAAAGGACAACTGAATGTGAGCAAAGTATGGCACCATGTTGGAATGGACATCACCTACCTCCAAAAAGAGTTTGTTTTGTGTGTGGTCTGTCGAAGGAAAATTAAAGAAAATTATTAGTGAAAAAGCTGCTACTTTAACTATCAGAGAAACTATGCTAATGTTTTTTCCTCCCTGTCTGGCATGGCCAATCAGAAAAATCACTCAGTGATTAAAGGCCATTGCTTTTGCTTACCAGAATGATTGTAAGTTTGGTGAGTGATAGTGCATTTGGATTTCTGACTCTGTTTTCGTTACTACATTGCCTGCTGGATTGTTCACTACAGATTTGCAATTAACCTTAGTGTTGTTACATTATATTTTGATACCCTAAACACAGGTAATTTGCACTACACACAGGTAATTTTTTTCTGGAAATGGTTAAAATTCATGCAAAAAATTCATAAAATTGTCTTATACATGAGTATGTATGGTAATCTAGCATAAACCACTTAAGAAGAACTAAAAAAACAAAAATTGATAGTATAACACATCCAGTCCATCCCTTCCATCCTTTAATGTGCTGAGGAGGTATTTTTAGAGGTGCAGATGCATAATGTTATTTTTGTACAGACCATTTGGCTATTCATTGAAT